TGATTTTTTCCTCCGCTGATATGTAAATATGTATGTGTTTTCTTTTTACCTAAAGACAACTTTACAAGTCTCAGTTGATTTACAGCTTTGACCGAAGTGGAACAACAAGGGTCAAGGGGTTCTTGAAAATGACAGGCCTCATGTTCAAAATGTTCTGCATACTTTCAGTCAGCAGAGTAATTTGATGGGTCTTGTCAGGAACTTTACCTACCTGAAGCCTGTTATCAGTCACACGTATGTAGAATAGGAAGATGACGACTGAGTCCTGAGGTCCATGAGGTTTTCAACAGTTAAGATTCTAAGGGAGATTTAAAAGGTCTAGTGTGTAACATTGAGGAGGATCTAATGCCAGAAATGGAATATAATATTTATAGGTGTGTTGTTAAATAACTTCTCCTACACACCTCACAGCCTGTTCTTATTCGCAGGTAGTCAAATACAGACATGAGCGGTTGCAATCGGAAATTCACCACTCAATGCCAGTAAATCCTACACACTGGTGCTTTTACAAGTTAAATGTTACTGTACATTTAAAATTCTTATTAAAGTTTGAGGAATTAAGCTCTGAGGTTTTGACTACTTCTTGACTTTTACCTCCAAATTGTAACCTCAAATTCTGCCTCTTAAGTTTTGACCTCAGATATCAAACAATCTTCTGACTAAACTAAAGTCTAAGATTACTAAAAAATAACCTCTAAATTCAGTAATCTCCCTCGTTCCTATCTCTGACAAAATATATTTATGTTGATGAGGTTTATTTATGTCATCATTTAGTTTGTAAACACCATTAAAACTTAATTTAATTAATATCCATGTAGATTACTGGCTATGTGGTTGGATTTATGTAAAGTGACAGAGGAAGTTTACAACATCACCACGTACTTTCAGCTGCGATGACATTACTGTACAGGACTGATTGAAATGAGAAAATATTTTGTTAATTTATTGTTTTCCTCTTTTCGTGTGTATCACATTTTTTTCTTATTTGCTGTCTTAAGTGTTACTATATTTCTCTTTAAACACCAGTATAACACCAAATACATGCACTTTTGTTTCTATCAATGCAGGTGAGTATTAAATGAAGTTAGTCAATTACAAACAACTGTTCCATTTTGTCTTACAATTTATTTATTTTGAGAATAAAACACAATTTTCCTAAATTGTAGAAGATAATCTGATTTACTTAAGTGATACATTTCTTACTCAATTTACCCTCTATGACAATTTCGCCTTCTCCACTGAGGTTCTGGCTTGCGCACTATTGCAGAAGGGATGTTAGGGAGCACAGCAGGATATGACTCAGGTACTGCTTCTGGTATAGTAGCTGGTGGATTTATCAGTTGTGGTCTGTGTTCTGCTGAATCAGGTTCACCGGAGTGTTCTTTATCTTCATCTGCGGTGTGTGACTCAGGGGTTATGTTCAAGTCATGCTCAGATGTTGGTAATTCTGCTTGAGGTCCTGCTGCAGGTGTGGTGTGTGAATCAGTCGGTGGCTCTGAATCATGCCCATATGTTGTTGATTCTGGTGCAGGTGCTTGTTCAGGTACAGTGTATGGAAGCACAGACTCATGCTGATGTGTTGGTGATTCTGGTTCAGGCTCTGGTGCAGGTGTTGGCTCTGAATCCTGCCCAGATGTTGGTGGTTCTGGTTCAGGCTC